GCGGATCGTGATGAGAAATAACCCGTCCAAAATGCGTGTGGATTATGGGCATAAGGAAAAAAGTCGTCAGTTTTCGATTTCCATGAACGATCCGCTTTATTTAAAGCATATAAATAACATCCTGGTGTAGAATAGAAAACATTGATATTGCTACCATTTGCTTGCTGTATTTTAGATTTAACAAAAAAAACAAAGATTATATTGAAAAATTATAAAATAGATCTATATATATATTTACCTGGGCATTAACATATTTGATCAATTTGTCTAAGTTTTTAAAATTTTCATTAGCATTTCTATAATAAAAGTCACCACCGAAAGTCATAATTATATGATTTGTAGCATAACCTGCTGCCTATAAAAGAGGAACAGTTAATTCTACACAATCAATATATTTTTAGTCTGTAGAAAAAAACAAACTAAATCTTGTTTATTTAAAATTCGAAATCGTAGTTTTACTTAGTTCTCTATTCATACCATATTTTTCTTCTAATATATTAGTTCACCAGGACAAAGGATTTGTTATAAACTAGCTGAATAATATCTTTTTATTTTTCATAAATTCATGCAGCGTGTATAGACGTCTATTTCTCAGATTATAAGGTACATATATATTTTTTTTACTATTCCATATGAAATACAAACCTCATCACGAGCAGCTTGAAGAAATGCTTGAACACGTTCTTGAACATTCTGGTCATATAAATGATTATCATCCTAAAATGAATATGCAGATGTGTATCATCTTTTTATCTGTCTCGAATAGTTCATAAAACATATTGCTGTAAAATTATTTCTATGCAACAATGTTGTTAGAGAACAAACTCATCATCAGTAAAAGTATCATTGCTAAATAGACTTTATTTTGAGTGGTTTTCGATTTTTTCTCTATACATATAGACGTAGGAGATATTATCAAAATTTTCTGCTCACCATAATAGGTTGATCTGCACATCTATAATCAAAACAGAACGAATCCGGTGCACTATATCCATTTGGTAAAATACCAGTGAATAACCAACTTTGTTCACCTAAGTTAGCACTTCCTTTCCATACCATTTCTCTAGTTTTTGTTCGATTACGTGTTTGAATATCTTCATAATCAGCTCGGCCAAAAAATAAACCATCAAACCCCATCTAAAATCAAACATGAAATCAGTTTGTTATTAAAATACGTGC